AAAAAAAAAAAAAAAAAAAAAAAAAAAAAAAATTAACCTGTGCACCCCAAAGTTTTAAGGTTGGAACCTAAATCTAAATAGTAACAAATCTTAACAATTTAAAAAGCAAAACATCAAACTCCGACCCATTAAATGAATATATAAAAGCCGAATACAATTTCATTTTGCAAAATGCGCAAAAATTTCAACCAAAAAAGAGACACCACAAAAAAATCACCCAATAGCTTCTCCAGTAAAGTTTCTTCCTTTTCTCAATAAAAAAGATTTGGAAGCCGCATAAGAAACAGTTACGGTCAAAAAAAGCTGCAGCACAACCACCAAAAAAACTAACTGCACTATTGCAAACCTGATCAGCCATCTCTTTGAGACCAGTTAACTGAAAGCGATCCGCTGCAGCCAATAAGTCTAGAGCCATATTAGTCAAGTTCGGAGACCGTCCACTATAGATGTAAGTTAATAATTCATGCATCACCTACAATAACTTTAATCAGTAAATAAAACCCAGCAAGCCGCTTCCTTAAAGACGAGTTAGTGCAAATAAGAAATTTTAAATAAAGTTTTTCGAACCTCATATTCGATATCAGCAAAATTAACTTGACTGTTTTTATATTCTTCAGTATGTGGCTCCAACATAGCAGCGAATACTGGAGAGCGAGCAGATAAAATTGCTCTGTGCGCACGCATTTCACGACCACCGGCGATAATTGTAAAATCGGACAGCCTCCCTTCACGGAAAAAATTCTCCATGTCACGAGCCATCTGAAAGAGGAACAAGTATAAACTACTTGAACATTATCTCAGCAGTGACCTACTCAGAAAATATGCAAATCCATCTAACAGGTGGTCCTAAGAGAAAAAAATACATTATAAACCTCAGTAAATTTAGGCTCCGGTAAGCCACTTGGCCGCTGGGTCTGGCTGGTTTTTGTCACAGTATCAAAATTAATAGTCAAATTCAAAACCAGCTGTAACTCGTCCTGTGGTTGAATGTGGGCAATAAGAAGATCACGTCGAATATACTCAAAATATCCGTGCAACTAAAATAAAGATTATCAGACTCAACACTGTACCTAAAAAAATCCAAATTTCAGTCTCTTTTGATTTTCTCAAATAGAGCTGCAAATCTCACCTGTTGTGTCCCGTTGTAAACAGTAGTCTGTGCTTCTTCATTTTTGGCATTAAAGACAGAAAATTTAGCACGATATTTCGTTGTATTAGTGTTACAAAACACCTACAAAGATGATTAGATTACAAGAAATAGAACTGTAAGTAAAGATTCTGTTCCTTACAAACCCAATCTTCAATATTAGGCAAAAAGATAATATTAATGACAACTGGTAATATAAAACTCAACCAATGGCTGAGTAAAAAAACTGCAATGAATAAAGAATAAAATCTAATTAACAGCCAACCCTAACCTGAAAAAAACTAAAGTCTTTATTGGATTCCTTATTTCCTTGCGGATGCAAGCGAATACGAAAAGTCAAATAACTATCACAGTTCGTATTTGGAATCGGCTGAAACGGTTAAAATGAATGGACAAAATTGCTCATTGAAAATGATAACTCTCAATTAAGAGAAAACCTCTAGTAAATATATTTACCGATTCTTTAATTTTTACTGAAGTCTCCAAATAACGACAATCGCACTGTGAAAATCCTCTGATTGCCCAAACATGAGAATGCTGTAGAGTCCGGACTTCCGTGGTTGACCAACTATCAGAAGGCCGTAGCGGACCAATAATATCGGCCATATCACGTAAGGCGATCCCAACTAACTATACTAGTAAACTGAAGAAAATGTCAAAAGCACAATAAAGCTAGTCGGTTTGAAACATCCTATTAACGTCTGAAAGACCTTAATGCCTTGAAATTAGGAAAAAAATGTTTAAAAAGAGAAACAGCTGGAAGAAACCTCTTGTCCTCAGAAGTGACTCTCTTTTTATGTGGAATAATAGATGCTACGGCGATTTTGAGAAAAAGTTAACCAAATAAAGCACAAGATTTCCAAACGTCTAAAGCGTCTTCTGTGGTTTAAGTTCCTAAACCTGAAAATTTAAGATCGAAGCATTCTTTTATTCCCATACTTTTGCCTAACGGAATTGAACAACAGCGTCGCAACTACAACTATCGCCCTCTGAAGTACCTCAGCTCATAACTAAAGAACGGAAAAAAAATTGTAGAACCATGACGAATTTAATTTTTTGCAAACATTAAGCCCTACCAGTGACTGAAATTAAACAGTTTCACTAATAAAAAGCTGGGTGACAAATAGCACAAATCACAGCAATATCTACAAACCACCACAAGTTTTGAAACATGGATTCTAACATAGAAAGATCAATATGTTTAAGCCCTATCACCATTAAGCAAAGAAGAAAATTTGAATACGCAGTTGCAAAAGCTTCTTCCATTTGCAAAATGACTTCTGCAAAAACCTCTTGAAACAGATTCAGCAATCCAAATATAGTTAAAATTCTGAATCCAACTAAATAGACATCATTCACCTGACACAAGAGAAAAAGGAATTTATTTGTCTTGCATTAACTACACAAGCTACTACAGATTCTCAGCAATAATACGATTTTCCGAAAGAAAAGCGTGCTTATGCTTCCAATTTGCTACCACCAGCTGATGATGGGAAAAAAACTTACTTTGCCGTAAAAACTCACAACCTCCAAATTGAAAAGCTTAAGAAATGAAAGCCCCAATCCAAAATCCAAATCGGCCCCATTTCTTAGCCTTTGACTCTCTGTATAGATGAACGATTAATCTGACGACATATCAGATGAGTAATCGTTCCCCAGTTAACGCTAACATACTCTGACGCCCAATACAACCACTATCATGAGTCTCATAGATAGAAGTTTTAGAATCATTTTAAGAACTGTAGAGACATAAGCGAAGGTAAAGAATGAACGAAAAAAAGTGACAAACCTTTTTATATTTAAAAACAAAAACAAAACTTTGCAGTATTTTAAGACAGAGGTCAATGAATGCAGTAGCACAGAAAAAAGATTACAACGGTTTTCAAAAAAGGACATAAGTTAAAACAGAATAGTAGGAGGGGAAAAAAAAGAAAGTAAATAGGCTAAAACTAAACATTCGGTAAGGGTAGAAGCACCTAATTCCATAAGAGAATGTGAATCTCCATCACAACACCACAGCGGTTCAGTACCCACGTCACAATACCAAACTTCATATTTACGAAGAGCATACACAGCCACGTTAAGAAATCTGATTACCTAAACTGACCTCTCAAAAACCCTAAAGAAACAATATGTCAAAACCGATCATTTAGAAGCACCATCTCTACGACTCAAAAAGAACGACCAAACGATCAACCAAAAACGCAGCTTCTATTTTTACCTTTTGGAAGTCCAAAAGTTTCTTAACCTAGAACTGTGCCCCATTCTATATCTATTTCCGAAAAAAAGTTCGAAAAAACTTGTAAACATTTTCGGCTTTCACATTCCCCAGACCAGGGCAAAGGAGAAGTGTCTCGACGTCAGCATTTGCAATTGCTTTCAAACTTCCAAAGGTACCAATCAAACGTTGAGCATCAGAGGTAGATACAGCTCTTATCGAAGAAAGAATTTCAACTACAGCCTTAATGTTCCCGTCCGTAGCATTGTTATCATCAGCCAACCCTAAACGCCTTTTTTTTCTTTCCTGCACAGCCTGTATAGCAGCTTTTTCATCCTTATTTCTACTCATGTGGAAACTTTCCAAATACTCAGCAGCTTCCTCAACGGAATAGCACAGAACAAGAGTCCATCCTGTACGGCAGCAAAACAAATTTAGTTCGCGTAGGAGATGTCGAGGCTCAACATTCACAAGAACAAGAAGTACTTTGATACGATAACCGGCTCCATCAGAGTCCAGGCGGGTTTCAATATAACTTGGATGCAACTTGTGCCACTTCAAACTAAGGTAGAGAATACCCAGTTCCTTCCCAGATTCAAAATCTGCTTTGATGTCCGCCCATTCGAAGGGTACATTTCTGACATACTTCAATACTGGATTCCCCTCTTGCCGTTTTCTGTTAATTCCGAGTCTAGTAGGGGTCGCTTGACTAGTTTGTCCGCCTTCCATAAAAATGACCTGAAAAAAATAAAACGTATGTTTACATAGAAAAGTAGAAAATTAAGCCTGCTTCAATTCTTCACCGATTATTTGAAACAGCAAAAATGTTCCCCAGAGGTCATTAAAAAGCTAACTAATAATAATTCTCCAATACCTAAAACACTTTAGCAGTAGCAATAACAGTAGAAGAAAGACGCACTTCTTTGTCTAACGAATAAGTTGTAAAGCTTGTACAACGATGTATTCAAACACATAACTAACAGTAACGGGCGAAAATATTGATTAGAGCATCAAATATAAAAGCAAAACCAAATAACCAAAAACTGATTTCTGTAGAAAATGCTTTTCAATCACGATTACAAAAGTTGCATCTAATGTTAATAGGCACATTCTAATATTAATGCCATAAAATCCTTCATATTGCTAACCTCAATAACGCAGTGTCACACTTCTCAGGCAAAAAAAAGAAAACAAACAGGGGAGTTAGAAGTAGCACAGCTCTGATAGATTTGCTTATGAATTTCGGCGTCTAAATACGTGGCCAACGAGACTGCGACCAAACTCACACTGGGATTAGGCTAAAAAAAATCAGCTTAATTAGAAACAGCGTTCAATAAACAGACATAACAGAACACGACATGTATTCGTACATCTTGATCTTAAAAATCTAGTCAGCAGTGGAAAACATATAAACAACAACCACGTATGACGAATAAAGATACTGAAATATGATGACACAGTTTTGCCTCTTGGACTCCGAACTGTTCACTGCATAATATCAATAACAACTTGCAAACTCCAAACTATTTACTACATACGATCAAATAAGAACTGAGTCCGTTTTCTCGTCATTCCTAACACTACCTGTTACTTTCTTTTGAAATTTTCCCAAAAATAAACTTTCCCGTATTAACAGCTCTTGAAGGTCTTTTACTCAATTTGATCCGTAGTCATTTTCAGGCCTTGACTGCACCAATCAAGAAGCAGTAATCATTGTGGTGCTAGTGAGATTTACTCTGATTGGCTATATAGTGTTTGATATTTGTCACTCTTAGTTGGAAAAAGCTAAGAAGTACTACAAAATTATTACAAAATAATTTACATGCAACTTCCAGTTCAGAGTTACAGTTTAGCAGCATAATGAGTATTCCCTCAAAAATAATGTTACTTGAAATTAACATGCCAACGCCCACGAACCCAAAGCTTTGCTACACACTACATCTAAATCAGCATTATCTTAGAAGTTGACCAGTGCGTCATACAAAATTGTATTCATATACCTCTAAGTCCTACAAAAACTTTGATCACCGACTAATTTAGCACGAAACGAGTGCAAAACAATAAAAAACCAACCGAATTTTCCAGGGTATAACTTCCGCTTTAGAGCACTCTGGCTACTATAATCTTGTTCTTTGCGCATCTCCATAAACACGGAATACAACTGCCAACGACCGAGCAGATGATTTCATTAAACAATAAAAGCTTACTAGCAAAGGAAGTTAATAAACTCCCAATACCTCTCTTTATAATTTTATAAAGTAGTAACTAGCATTTATTAACTTTCACAATTAATTTTACAGTGTCTAAATATATCCTACAAAAAAAAAAAATAAATAAATGAAAAGATATGAAATAATATCTTGTATGTATATGTCATATGACCTGATCGCCAGTGCTTACGAATAAACTAAGATAATTGGGGATGCAAAATAGCAACAGCATTTCAAACACCTTGTTGCTTGATGTGGACGGGAAAAAAATTGCAAAATGTTTGTGGCCAAAATAAAGGATAAAAAAATTTCCCAACAAAAAAAAAATTACCATTTTAACCTGTAACTGTAAACAAACTAAGTAGATAGAGTTAATTACACTGCGCCATTAACCTCTACTCATCACTCAAAACTACGCTACACCGAACTGACATTACAGCAGGTCCACTAAAAAATGACACAAATTTAACCAAAGAAAACTATTTTCATGATAAACTTTTCGCACCTCGGAGAACCCGTTTATGTCCAGATAGGTCAGCACTTCAAGCAATTAGAGCTTCCAACAATTATAGAAAGAAAGTGTTATAAAATTAATAGCAAAAAGAAGATAAGGTAGCTAAACAAAAAAGAAAAAAAAAAAAAAAACACAGCTTAACGAACTAACAGACCAAGATGCTATGCCAAAGAAGAAAAAAAAAAATGGTAGAACTATAGAGCGTTCATTTATTAATATGTAGCTCAAGTGAACCAACCACTAAAAACTAACGCTAGAAAAATCTCTTAGTGAAAAACCAAGCAAAAAAAAAAAAAAAAAATAAGCTGCACAGCATCCAAATTATAATCCTTCATTCCGTTTTCAACGTTAAATTAGTTGCCTCTGCTCTATTAATCTCATTTTTCCCGAAAATCCTTGCTTTCCTAACTTTTTCCAAATTGAGTTTTAACTAAAATTTTTAGACGATTCTGAATAAAACGTTTTTTAGATTCGTAACTGGGAAAACAGATGAAACTCAGTTTCTGTAAAAGCTCCATCCTGCAAATATCCAATAATACACTCCTACAGAGATTGAGGCCTCCACGAAAAAACAACCCTGTTTTTTAATGACCAAACACAACCTAATATTCTTAGTAGCAAAGTAAAATAAAACTTTGTACCTCAGGATGTTCGTTTTTAATATGTCAAGTTTCCTTCATAACCTGTTACTCTTTCCGTTTATTTCTTAAGAAACAAATATAACCTGGAGCAAAGTAGGATAGAAAACTTGCTAGGAACGAAACGTACATTGTCCACGTGAAACCTATTTAGTCATATCTCTCAAAAGGATAGGAGCCTTTGTTTATGAAATGTATGGCATATAGAAACGTATGGCATATACCCTTTCAGTATTCTGCAAGACCCAGAATGCCAACACGTGTCAAACGATGTCCCATGTAAAGCATGATCACTTAAGCCCAGCACAGTAAAACTTCTGATCTGAAGCTGATTCATTCGTAAAGCTACTAAATGAGATAACGACTGTAACAAATGCGACTCCGCAAAAAGGTTTAAAGTGAATATAAAAAAGCTAAAAGGAATCATGTAAAGATAGCATTTTTAGCAACCTATTGTATAAAAAAGTTAAAGAAGAAACCAATTAATAATGATCTAAACAGTGGACAATTTAGTGCGCAGAAAAAAAAGTTAAGAAGAAAAAATAAATGAAATATTTAAAAAATATGAAAGAAACGCAACAAGTTCTTTCCAAAAATTTCCCGTTAAAAATACTTAAAACCCCTCTAGGCCGCAAATAAAGACACAGAGCAGAGGGCAAGAAGTGACGGCGCCATACAGTTTACTATTCTTCGGAAACATCTCATTAAGGTTGAGAAAGTTTCTCTATACCTCGGTAACCAAAAAGTGCCGTACGTAAAGTGTGTCCCCTCAAACGGAAGTAAAAAATTTTTACACTACTTCAAATAAATTAATTAGTTGAGGCAACCAAACTAGAAGAAAGCCATGTGATCGTATCGTAACCTCAACCTACAACACAACTATAGCCAAACAAAATGTCTGAGAAGTGAATGGGATTTAGGGCTTGTCACACTACCACATTACACAAAAGCACATTTGTTGTTAAAAACTGGGAGCTGAAAGTACCCCCCACAACACCACCACCAAAGCAAAAAAGTTCTTAGTGAGAGTAAGTAAATGTCTTCTTTCAATGACCTGCTAACAAAAGTTTCGTGAACAGAAAAAATCTTGCTATTAAGCTCTTTCGCACAAACCACATTTGTGGTAAAAATGAAAAACAAAACTTATTTATTTTTTCTTTTTTCTCCAAAAACTTTCCCATTCTTTTTTTTTTGTTTCACCTTTCAGAAGCCACCTAAAATTACCAACCAATCAAATATCAGCGCATTGTTACAAAAATCCATATTTAACTTTCACATGTACTATCCCACATGTATGAAAACAAAGACTAACAT